ATATATGAAGTTTTATGACCGCAGGATAACGATAACCGATTGCCGACTTTTAGTTAAAGTTTTAGTTAATAACTTGAATTAATCGTCCATGAAAACTTTGGAAATGCGAAATGTTCGATATGTTTCCCATATTTTAGCGCATTTCTAGTCTAGTAAATCTGCATCTTTAAATTTTTAATACGATGGCACGATTTCTCCCAAGGACATAGAAAAAATTAATTAAACTAAAATATCCTTTGCTATTATCCTTAGATTAGTATCTTTGTATATATTTATAGAATTTAAATTAAACCATAATTCTTAAAAATGCATTAAAAATTAAAAATCTTGAAGGATAATATTCTTTCAAGGACATTTTTGACATTTTCCAAAAGGATAATTGAAAAGAGAAGTTATTAATTAACATTGTTTTGAATTTTTCCCTTAACTGATACCCATATTTCCATATTTTGTGTAAACTTTTGGAAAAATATTGTAATTTATGGTCCTTTGGAAAAAATCCTAACTACCTGGTAAATAAATACTAAAAACGAAGATTTACTAAATATTATGCCCTAATACTGTAAGGAGTATGGTAATGTCGCCTTATATAGAAGTAAAATGAGTAAGTTAACAAAGCACGCGAACTGCAGAAAAATTATTCTGATAATTTTGACCGCAAGTCGGCACGGGTTGCCGTGGTCCGAATTGCATAACATTTTATTGGGGTAGTTTTTAAGACAAAACCAATAAAACGATGGGGTATGCGTTAAAAAAAAAAAACAGCTTTGGTGTTTTTGGACAGTCTGATGTACATACATAGTTAATCTAAAAAATGCGACTAGTCCGGATTGACTAAAGGGCTTCAGTCGCAATAGTGTAACTAATTGTAGTTACTGGACGGGTACATAGTTATTAAAAGAAAATATTTAGTCAGTTTTTAAAAATATAAATCGTCACTCGATAAGCTTCGAGCTGGGGACTTCAGGCGTGAATACTCTGCCTACTATGACAATGCTGAATATGGAACTTCGAAGCTTAATAGCGAATTGCATCCAAAAGAGATTAGTCGAGAACTATTTAGTACAGTAATACATGAGACGTATGTATATAATAATGAATGCCCAACGGAGATCAATCCGGACCTACGCTCTTTAGAAGTTAGTCGCATAATTTTTTGCAGTGTTTATTGATGTTTTGCCGCGACCTTTGTAAATACCTACATACATACATGTACATACATACTTATGTATTATCAGCAAAACTTCAAAGAAGCGTTATTTTCGTATTTTATGCTGAAAATTTACTTAATTTAAAAATCTATGTTAACTGCATAAACTGCTGTTTGGTAGGCTAATTTTCTATTTTTTCGTTTAAAATATTTGTCTCAATGAATTTCTTTCTCCATCGTTTTGAATGATTTGAATTTATGTAGATTACTTATTTTTATTGCTTTACAAAATTTTTAACTTTTACTTTCGCATTCAAGCCTTTGCAAAGAAAGCTACCGCTTTTGTTCACTTCATAGTCCGTATAGTCAGTCAGTCTCCTTTCTTTGCTCGTCTTAAATGCAAATTGCATACAAATTTTTTTATGCATAGCAGCGTTGTGTGATGGAGCAGCATGCTGCAGCATACAAAATCAGTTAGTCAAATTAGAAACCAAAGTGAAATTAAACTTAATACAAAAATTAAAATAAATAAATGAATGGTGGACTTTTGTAGAGGGTATTGAGGCAGCCTAATTGCAAATGCAGCAAAGTGTTGTGACTTTCATATGTGAAACTTTTCTTTAGTTAAATAGTAATGCTGTAAACTACTTGATGCGGTTGCGCAGATTAATTAGCATGGATTTGACAAAATGCAACTAATTTATGTAATTAAATATGTAAGTCGTTGTCGGGATCGAGATTAGATGCTACGGTAAGCCTAAATCGGAGTTAAGGGCGTGAAAAATCGTAACAGAAAATATTACGTAGTAGTCTTTTTTATATACAGTGGCGGGAAAATAAATAGGCACGTAAAATTTTAACAAGTTTTGGCTATTTTTTATGTTTTATTTATTTATATGAAAGAACAGCTCACTATTTAACAAAAGCCATGTAAGTCCGAATTTCGAACTTCATAAAAAAATTAGGAAACTTCGTCAAAAGTTCAAACTTTTCAATCAGATTTTTTTTTTTAAATTTTGGTATGCAGTTTTGTAGCCCATTAAATTTGAGTGTAACAGTGCAGTTTTGAGGTGACTAAGGAGCGTGTCAGACGTGGCAATATATTTCGTACGCACTATATTTCGAAAAGGCTGTAAAATTTTGAGAAATTTTAGAAAGCAGTTGCATAAGCAGTCACACCTTGCATGTAAAGTGTCTTTCGAAAGAGGTTTTTTTTATTTCCGAAAGGCGAATTGCAGATTGTTAGTGCAGCGCGAGCAAGTTGAAATATATTTCCGAAATCGATTTGCGCGCTTTGAGTTGCAGTCACACCTTGCAACTTTCATTTCCGAAACTAATTTCCCAAAAGTGACAGAAAGGTCTTTCTGCCCGTTCACACATGGAAATAAAATTTCTCTTTCTCAATTTGACAGAGAATTGCGTGGAAAAGTTGGAAATATTGCCAAGTCTGACACGCTCTTAAGACTTACAGTTGGTTTTTGGCAATTTTTTTGTTCTCTAAACAAGGATATCTCAGTGTTTTTCTGTGACTTTTTCAAGTCAAACCCACGTTAGAGTTACTTAAGGTAACTTTGCAAACCAGTTTTATAAAGTATTCACAGTGGTAAGCTCGATAAGATCCACATTTGACACTACGCATAGATATCTGCGAAATGCTATTTAAAAACGATTCCTAGTTCGCAAACGACTTCAAAAGCAGAGCTTCATTAAAACAAAATTATGTGGCGGTATTCAAAGGGTAGCCCATACCAATAAACTCGGTAATCCATTCACATAGTACCGTCGGTATTTTGGACATTTTGAACAAACGCTCGTAGTTTGCCAATAATATTCCATCACTATAAAGGCTGGTTTTTGCAACTCGTAAAGAGTTATTGAAACTTGGATGTGATGTTTTGCCACACTCAACATACTCTCCGTCAGACATTTATACTTGTTTTGCTCTCTACAAAACTATGTAACAAGTACATTGAAATTGAACGTTACATTTAGATGAGGCAGTAAATCAGTACCTTGTTTAGTTTTTCGTCAGGTCCTATGTACGGGAACTTATGAAGCTTACCGAACAAAGCGGGAATTTTCATTGTTTGACTTTAGAATTTTATATATTTAAATAAAGGAGTTTGAAAAAGCAAAGGCTTTTTCGCCGTACACCCCTAACCCTAAAGTCTTTTTCCAAGGAAATTAAAAAAAAAAAATCTTTAAATTTTTCGATGTCACTTATGTATGTACATACATTCGGCAATATTTTTTTTTTAAATAGTTCTACTGGAATAATCGAAATACTTCATTCGCAAAAGTTGAATAATTTTTCGTGTACTTTAATTTACTTACATTAGGGTGGTACGTGTGGGTGATAAGAATTGAGATCTGTTAGGTAAGTACTAGAGCGGGGTACTTGAGGTCATTGAACTTTGGAACCAAAAAAAAAAATTTTCTTCTCGAGGCAAAAATATTAATACATCATACTTTAAGATTCGACGGCAAATACCGCAGATATGTCGAAATTGCCTGGTAAAATACTTTTGATTGAAGGTGTATGGCAAACTTTCTGGCACGGTCTAGTATATGTATGTACTTAGGGCGCAGCACTCTTCATAAAAAATCCGCACTATTTTTCCGTAAGAATTCTAGAATTAATTATTTTCTAATTAATTATACTAAATATTTCGGAAAAATATAAGTATTTAGGTGAGCTGAATTGGTTTGAAAATATGTACCTCCAAAATCTCACTATTTTGAATTCGTTCTTAATATTAAATGTTTATATTTTTTTTACGCAGATATTTTAAGCTTTAACTCTTCTATCATCTCAGGTGATTTAAAAAAAAATATTTTTAAAAACGTATTTTATTTAAAAAAAAAATAGAGTTTTAGAAATATTTTGGCAGAAGTCTTAAAATATAATAGATTTTATAATCCGTATTTTTTTGTGAGGCACTCTTATGTGCATACATACATGCTTACATACACAAGTGAATTTTTTAAGCAAAACTTAAATCAATTTAAGCTTGCTACGTAAACTAAAAGTCATTATTGTGCTAAACATTTCTTCATTCATTGTGGTAGTAATGTTGGTTTTATGTTAAATTCGCGCATAAATATGTATCTAAAATCTTTCATAGTCCTTTGCTCAGCTTTAACTAGCAAGTCAATTGTTTAGGTATAATCTACTATAAAATATCGTTTTTAAACATTTTTAAACTTTTTAAATTTGCATACCAAATCATCAAAAGAATAATACTCTGAATGCTTGTAGGTCATATCTTTCCATCCCCTTTCCCCAACTTTGCATTTTCGACCATGCCGTTGTCTTTCTCTTTGCCACTTTAGTCTGTTTAGGCGCCCATTTAAGCGTTTTGCAAGCTTTCTATCTACACAATTGTCTGGCTTACAAAGAAAAATACTATATACCAAGTATAAACTAAAATATGTATTAAAAACAGTTCAAAGGCCGTCACTTTGCTGCAATGCCATTAGCCTAATTACAACGCTTTTACAACAAAACCCATTGACGGTCACTTCTACAAGCAAAGATTATCGCGTCGCCACTTATCTCAGTTGCTTTTGTTTGCTTTTTCATTTGTAAATAGCCATAAAAAATGACTGGGGCTGCTGCCTTTATGTGGTATATATAGTATGTATAGTTCCTGTGACGCTCCTCGCATAGCTTATTTGCCTGCACATTTCACTGCCAATACCACACTCGCTCAATACGAGCGCCAAGCAAGTCAGTTAACTACAAATTCACTTTCACTGCCACGACATTATCCCCCCATTCCCACGCTCGCTCTTCTCTACCTGTTGTTTGTTGTTTACTATTGTTAAATATTGTTAACTGGCCACTTACCGTATTTAGTTTGCAGTTCATCCGCCATTTTTCTATCGTGATCATTTTGCACAACAATTCTCCAGACCTGAGCACCATCGTACCGTCTCAACTGTGCATTTAAATCATTGTCATCATCATTATCATCCTTCATGGTTTGTGTTGCTTGTTGTTGTTGTTTGTTGTTATTATTAAGTTGCATAAATGAGGCATTCACATAATTGAGCACACTATCCATGACATTTATTGGCGCTACTGAGGATGCTGCCACTGCTGCTGCTGGTGGATTGTTGACACCTACGAGTGTTGACGTCGATGGTGCTTCAACATTTTCGATTTCTACCGGCGTGGGTTGCTGTTGCTGTGGATATGTGTGTTCTTGTGGCGGCTGTACGATCGTTGTTAGGAGCGATGTAGCAGGCTCAATGTGCCCACTATTCAGCGATTCTTCAACAACATTACTAGGCACTTGGGCTGGCACACCAGCAGGAGGCTGGCTGAGCTGCGGTTGAGTTTCTGCGTCCGAACTATGTTGTATTTCGATAATTGGCTGCTGTTGTCCGAAAGTGGCTTCTGGTGCCAACTTTTCTGATTCTTCCAGCAGTACTTGCTGCTCCTGTTCTAAGTTTTCTACTTCCTGCTGATTTTCTGTTTCTGATTTTTCTTGTTCGAGTTCAACTATTTGCTGTTGTGGTTCCTCAGACTCTAGCTGCTGTTCCCCCATTAGCGCTTCTATTTGCTGCTGTATTTCTTCCATTTGGCTCGTTTGTGTTTCTTCCCGTGCTGGCTTCTGTTCACTCAATTGTTCTAGATTTTGTTGCTCAGTCGGCATTTCGTTATTTATCATTTCTGGTTGCTCTAACTTTTCTAAATTTTCTGCCTCCAGCTCGGCCGCTGCTTGTGCTAAAATTGAGTCTTCCTCTAATTTCTCTTCCACCGCTTGCTGGTTTTCACTTAGTGTGGCTTCTCCTTTCTCATCAGCTTGAATGACACTTGTATCTTGAAGTTCTGCACTAGTAACTTCTTGTTGCTGGTTGTCCGTCCCCAACTCTTGTTGTTCTACGTCGTTTTGTTTATTTTCTTCTACTGATGCCTCCTCTGGTTGCGTTTGCCCTACAACTGGCTCATCTTGTTTGCTGTCTACGCTTGCAACTTGCTCAGGCTTGCTTTCCATGGGCAGTATTGTCTCTGGTTTCAATTCTTGTTCGCGAATCTCGTCAGCAGCAACTTCCTCTGGTGCAGCTAAGTCTGCCACTTCACCTACAGGGATTGTTTCTTCATCTGCTTTATCTACTGGTTTTAATCCATCCACTTGAATTTTGTCCTGCTTCCGCTTTAACTCTTCTGCTTCATTTCGCTCATCAATCTCTCCTTGCTTAATGTTTTCTTCAGCTGTTTGCGCTTCTTCTGCGGTTTGTATGTCTTCAACTGCTTGACTTCCTTCGACAGTTTGCAATACTTCTTGTGCTGTGTTATTATCTTCGGCAGCTAAAGTTTCTTCAACAGCTTGTTTTTCCTCTGTTGTATGACTCTCTTCCGCAATTTGATCTCCATCTGCTGCGTCGACTACTTCTGCTCTTTGGGGTTCTTCAGCTATTTGAATATCATTGACTATTTTGTGATCCTCCTCCGTTTGACTATCCTCTTTCATCGCATCTTCTTGTTTGCCATCTTCCCGATTGTCCTCGTTCTGTGTAAGCTCCCCTTTTTCTTCAGCAATCATGCCAGCTATCTCCGCTGTTATTTCTTTTTCAATAGATTCCGCCATTGGATTTACTTCATCCTCCTCTGATTTGGTTTCATCCAAATTTTCTTCCCTTTTGACTTCTGACTCACTATTTATTATTTCATGCCCTTCAATATGCTGCTCAGCGTTTTGTGAGTGCTCAGCATCTTCCGCCAAGTCTTCAGACTCTGAAACTTTTTCAATCTGCTCGTTATGTGGCTCTAAGTTTCCTTTATTAGGCTGAACAGCAGCGCTCTCCACTGGCACAAGTTCTGCAGGCTCAATACTTTCAGCCGGCTTAGCTGTTATTTCTTCAGTATTTTCATTTTTCACTAATTGTTCTTTTGTGTCCTCTTTAATTTCATTTTCTTCCAAATTAGCTTCTTCTACAACCGCTTCACTCTCAAGCGAGTGTTCGACATCTTCTTCACTATTTTCATGCTGCGTATGTATTGCGTCGATGGGCACCGAAACAATCACGGGTAACTTATGTTCTTCCATTGCCGATGAGCTCTCAATGGCCGGCTGTTTTTCCTCGTCCTGTTCGTATTTAGAATATTCTGCCTCCTCGACTGCTGCCAAAGTGGTTTCCTGTACTCCCGTAGCTTCACTTTCAGCAGCCGCAGCATTATTTGCTGACTCATTTGCCAATTGTGCTTCTTCCAGACCCTTCTCCACTTCCAGCACTGCATCTGAGATCATGTCAGCTAGAGTTTCATGTTCGGCGCTGATTGTATTCTCACTATCCAAGCCTTCCCCAGCGTTTAATGCGGCAACTTCTAGTTTCTCAACAGATTCCTGTGGCGTTTCATCAACTGCGACTGGCACAATTTCTTGCGTGTCTAGTTCGGTAGGGATCTCCAAAATTTTATCCGTTAAAATTGAAACTTCATCATCCATGCGTCCGTCATCGTGCTGTGAGGCATTATTGTTATGCTTTGTATCTTCTCCGGCAGCCACCGGCTCTTGTTGTTCTACGGGCACTGCAAGAAGGGCCACGTGTAATGGCGCATCATTTGACTCCACCATCAGCATGTCTGCAGTTTCATGAGGCTGTAGATTGTCGTCTGGTCTGCCGTTGCCACCATCAATCGTATTCTTTTCAACACTTTCACGCTCATTGCTTCCACCGGCTGGCACTAACAAATATGCATTCGTATCTCCGCTGTTGGGTACAGCCTCCAACTCCATATCGTCTACCACAATATCTCCACTATGAACCATTTCCGCTTTCTCCTCATTGCTACTTGCTGCCGCCAAAGCCGAATTTAATTCATTTTGATCGACACCCAAACGTTCGAGTGACATTGATGACGCGCGTTGGGCAGCAAAGGAAAGTAATAGTAGAGCGATTGTGTAGAACGCGAACCGCGTTAAAAGCGGCGGCGACGTTAACGAAAACACTTGGGATCTCCCGGCGCACATCTTGACGAGATCTAACACTAAACACTAATGAGACATGTCCCATTGCCGCTATGGCGCTTTTATACCACATTTGGGAAAGTAATTCCATTTCATTTTCGATGTACGCGGCATGCTGCTGCTGCTGCTCACCGCCACTTGCTGTTACTACATTTCAGTGTTTTTTTTTTGGCTACTTCTCTGGCGCTGCTGCTGCTATCTCTTGTTGTCGTTTTGATGCCGGCTGGGCGATCTTTAAATATTGTCGTCAGCGTTTATACTACTATTTGTTATATTTTCTTTCTCCGTTCATTGTGGTTGCTGATATTTTTATGTTAAATACTATTTTGAACAACACAAACTTAGTTGGCCGCATAGAGCAAATGTCGGAGCGTGTTATGTATGTAAATGGGATGACAATGATGACGCGAGTATAAGCGGTGTTAAAAGCCGTTGCGCATGCACTCTGAAAACAGCTTACAACTGGCGTGGTGCTCATTGTTAGCCAGTCGCCTTGCATGTATGTACACCAATCAGCTTCATTTAGCTCCGCTTGACCATTAAAATACTTGTACCTGTAAGTGTTTAGTAATTTCTATGCTGAGAGTCAAGTGACGTTCGCGCGTTTACGATACAAACATCGCCGCGCGTGCAGGTGCCCCGTGCGTAACTAGCTGCGTTGCTCCGCGTCGTCGTTGATTGATGATCAGTGATCGTTGTTAAACTCTTTAAATTTTTTTTTTCTACATTGAACTTTATGTTGATGGCGCCACTGCGCGCTTTTGTATCTCCGTGATTTTATGTTGTTTTTCTTTATTTTCTCTGCTCTCAGCTTCAACTAAATACATACGTTTCGGATTCTGATAGCGGCCGCAACTCGTACATGCTTACTTTCAACTCGCGCACGCGCACGCGCGCCTGTAAAGCTCGACATTTCTCCGACTTGTTTGCATTAGTTAGTGTACTATTTAATGTAGTCATTTTATTTGGCATGAATTCATAATAGTCGCGCATACCGATGTCTTAAATATCGACGACTTAATATGCTCTTAACGTGAGCTAATCTTTTTCTTTTGGCTCTAATATTTTTACAGGATGCATATTAGACCATACCGCCTTACAAGCAAACAAAAAAGTTTAAACATTATTATTCATTTCGTAAGAATATTTGAAAAAAAAACATATTTATAACGGGTATAACGTCCTCTCGCGTTGATCACGCATTCCACTCGGGTAGGCATACTTTCGTACAGTTTCCGAGTAAAGTCCGGCGAAATAGTTTCTTTAAACTTTTTGACATTACTCAGCTTTGGCTGACGTACCTTTGTTTTTAAAAATTGACCACATGTTCTCAATGAGATTCGAGTTCAGGCGTTTTCCCCGGCCTTGATATCGACACAATCCACAAAAGAGATTGAAAAGTGAAATGTTACGCGCCCGCTTAGCCCCTCAATAGTTGGTAAAAGGCAGTCTTTAATAATGCCAATGTAGGCGGTGGAGTTAACGTATCCCTCCAGTAACAAAATTTTACATAAGTTTACATTTTTCGCAGTCGTTTCATGACCAATTTCTTTTTTTTTCGCGACGCTGTGCCGCTGAGATGCTAATTTTCATGTTGATGCTATCGTTCAATTTCACGGAAATTTCTGCAGCAGTTGTAAATCGATTCCACAGAGCAACCTTGACAATATTCCTAGCATCACGCTAAGTGGTTTTCGTGGTCGTCCACCTCCAGTACGACGGTCCAAACTACCCGGTTCCGTACATTTCGTCCAGAATCTTTTCACAGATGATTCATTGCAATGTACTGCGCGTGAGATATCGACATTTCGCTTGTTTGGCCGCCTATATACAATTATGTACATTTTTTGCTTTTCGGATAAAATCATTGATTTTTTTTTAAATATGCTTTCACAAAAACTGATAGGCACTTACTATATTTTTCGTCATAAAACATCACATAATAATGCCTTGATCACACCTATCGAGTAGAATGGCGAGACAGTAACTTGGCCGTGTGCTCGTTCTGTATAAACAATTTGGCGAGTAGTCGACCTAACTGGCGAGAGAGTCGTTAGAAACTTGGCTGAGTATTACTTCCCCGCTTCATGCCTCACCCCTCGCGCAGCGATTCGCAGACTCGCTCGTCGCATAAAAATACGCCACGTAGCTAAATATGCACGTAAAGACGCCTACTCACCCACACAAATCTTTCGGGCCAGTGTTATCTTATAGTCTCGCCACTCTACTCGTTAGGTGTGATCAGGGTACGAAAATAAACTGTACAAAACAATTCCCATTTGCTCATCGATCATCATATCATTTGTGGTTTTGTACAGTTTTGTACATAGTCAGAAACAAATTGTAAGATTCACTGTCATTTTCCCCAACGAAAAACGTTTGCTTTTCGTTTGTGACAATTGTACCATAGGGTACGTTTTATATGTATGCAAACGTTTCAATTGCGTGAAAAATATTTTTTTCTGTAAATTTTCATATCCAATTCAATTAAAAAACATTTTTATTTTTTTATTCATTGCAGCCATTCGTTTTGTATTTAGTTATTGCATATATGTTCATACATACATATATTTTTCTCTGCACGATTCATTTTGTTTGTTGTTTCGCCTGTAACTACTAAACTACTGTAGTGTACTATCGCCAAAGTGAACTCAGCCGTTTTGTATTCGTATTGTACCGAACTGTTGAAGTAATAAACGAAACGAAATAGTTACGTACAATATAGTTTATTTTCGTACACTGGGTGTGATCAAGGCATAAGCTAAGAATTTATCGTTAGTCACTACAAAAAATAAAAAAGTTCCGCTTTTACTACCAATTGTAGCACGGTGCTGCCATATTTTTACTCACTTATTTAAATAAAGAGCTTATTGAAACTGAAAAACATTTAATTGAGAATTAAAAAAACTTTACAGTAGAAACGCTGTAACAGGGAAAAAGTTGTCGTTTTTTACCGTTAGTGCACATTCGGCAATAATTTTTTTTTGCTGGAATGATCAAAATACTTCCTTAGTAAAAGTTAAATAATTTTTCACGAGCTTTAATTTATTCATTCAGGTGGTCCATTAGGGTGTTGGGAACTGAGATCTGGTGGGTAACTACTAGAACTTGAAGTCAATGAACTTTGGAGAAAAATGTCTTCCCGAGACAAAAAATATCGATATATAATTTCTCGTTCCCACGACAGGCTGGTCTACGTAACCGGAATCCACTATTAAAACTCTTTGGGGAAGAACGAGTCAACTAACATCACGTGAATTAACCGGCATATATGTATGTGCATATGCATGTATTTGACGACCTAGTGTGTGTTTTATTTTGAAAAGTGTATATATAACTTTATGTCTACATTAGGGTGGTCCTTAAAACCAAATGAGCGATTTTTTTTAGTCTCACCGCTTCAATCTGTAATACCACGGTCACGGATAGGAGGCGGTTAAGGCGTGTCGCACAGGGGCCAAACTTCAGATTCCACTATAGAGACTCAAAAAATTAAAATTAATTTTTTTGCCAACTCATACCCAAAATCGATACTACCGTAGTCGAAGATGTCACATATAAATTGTGGTCCCGATTGGAGTCGGTTAAGGCTTGTCACTATGGGGTCCAAGGCCAGATGCTCCTTGGAGACTCAAAAAATTAAAAATATTTATTTCATTTCATACCCAAAATCGATACTACTAAAGTCGAGGATATCACATAAACATTTAGTCCCGATTGGAGTCGGTTAAGACGTCTTCATAGAGTAATCTGAATTTTGACCCCTGTGCGCCACGCCTTAACCGACTCCAATCAGGGCCAAGATTTATATATGATATCTTCGACTATAGTAGTATCGATTTTGAGCATTGGATGAAAAAATAATAATTTTATTTTTTGAGTCTCCATAGAGGAATCTGAACTTTCCCCCCCTGTGCGACACGCCTTAACCGTCTCCAATTGGGACCAAAATGTATATGTGGTATCTTCGACTATAGTAGCATCCACGTAGTGGTTGAGGCTTAGGAAATCTGATGTAAAAATTTACTTCCTACATTTAAGGACCACCCTAGTCTACATACATACATATGTACAGTATATGCCACGTTCAATCTGTATTCTTCATTGCATTTTGTTTACTTAACATACTTGTGTTATAATCTTGATTTCATTTGCTGTTTGTAATTTGACCATTCATATTTTTTTCCTTTTCATAGATGTAATAATAACCGCATATAACCGCGCAGACGCACATTTGCCGTTGTAAAAATATTGCTTCTTTTTTTATTTGTACACCATCAACTTAAGCTATTCTGCGTTTTTTGTTGTCGTTGTAATCCCATTACTTTTTTGTTGTCGTTGTAATCCCATTGCGGTTAGTAGGTCAAATATGTTTACTGATTTTTAGTATTCTAATTGCATTTGTTTAGATATTTGCATAGATATCGGTAGAATCGATAAATAGGTGGATCACTCGTTGGATCAATAAGTGATCAGTGCTGTGTATTTTTGAATATTTGATCTCCTTTGTTAAGCGTTGTAATACAAATTTACTCTTCGACTCAAATTGACAAACCTATGAATAAGGCGATACATTGTTTGATTAAGAAGTGTATACCTTGTGAATGCAAAATATTCCTATTTATTGGAAATATTAACTGTAAATTTTTCTATAGATGCCAGATTGGACATTTGGCGATTACAAATGTTGTTTTTTAAGGTTTTCGCTCATTGGGATATATAATTGCATCTTTACTTATATTATATTCAATATTTGTAAATGCTTCATCATTAACTTTATTTTGTGTCACTTTCGCTGGCCAATATTTTGGATGGATCGAAAGATACGCCTACTCGATTCATACCCATTCGATTTCATTCTAAACGATTTTGCAATTAACTTCAAT